AAGTACTGAAGTTTACAAAGAGAAGGTTAGCACTAGAATCGTGCTGAGTCTCATAGCTATTGACAAATATCACTACATTTGCATAGCAGTAGCTGGAGGAAGGTTTGTGTCTTAGGCAGCTGGTTCTCTCCTCACATCTTCCATGCCCTCTGTTATTGGTACACAAGGATACACAAAAGCAAAGTATGGAGATGCCTGAAACAATAGCTTGCAGCTTCTGGACTCAATAGCAAAGGAATTTAGCCAATTTTGATCTTGTTGATGGTGAAGAAGGGGAGAGAAGGAGAGGGAGAGAGGAAGGAAGGAAGAATTGAAAATGAACCAATAAAGAAAAGGAACAAAGAAAGAATAAAAGAGAAAAAAAAAGAGAGAAAAAAAAAAAAACCCACCAACATCCTCACCTTTAGCCAGGGAATACCTCTCCAGTAGATGCTTTGGTTTTTGCCTGTTTTAGATAGTCATCTAGAAAGTGATCAAGATGAGTTGAACATGAACCCTGAACTTATGCTCAGCACCTCTCAGGTGGATTGAAGCTGTTAAGTGAAGAATGAAGGATTCTGTTAAACTGCTGAATCCCAGTGCAGTTTTCTTGCTACATAGGAATTAAGAAACCTACAGATTACTTAAGAAATATAAAAAAAATATCAGCCAAATGCTTAGTGTGTAAGTTGATGGCATCTAGAACAATGGTCATACCACTTCATGGTGGTCAGGTAGAACTTCACTAAGGTCACTGGCTCTCTTTCTGTTTCACAGGCCAGGGATAGTATATACTTCAAAACTGAGAAATGCTAAAGGCACTGATGTGAGAGGCACAAAGATTACACTGTAAGCAAAGAGAACAATATACCTTGAAAAAAGCACTTGAGTAAGCAGCTATGATCATCAGACACAGATTGCCTTTTCTGTAGGGAGATCCAGAAAGAGCAGCCAGTGGGAAAAGCACTGTGAATTATGGACAGCCTCTATGAATTGCAGTGAGTGCTTTATTTTACAGGTTAGAAGGTAAAAGCAACTGTCTATACCATGAAGCCAAAAAAAAATTATATTAAAACATTTACAATCTTAATTTCTCCCAGTAAGCAGTACAGCAACTACAGTCTTTCCAGTGCCATCTTGCATTTGAAGAATGGGTGGAATTGAGTGTACAAAAAGGCAGTGAACATCCCTCCCTAGGTCATGAAGGGATTGGGAAAGGCGAGATGCAATAAATTCTTGCAGCAAGACGAGGCTTTAGGCTTTGAGTCACATTAGAATTAGAGCTGTAGAAGTGTTCGAGATAGTTATCTTAGATGTGTGGTAACATGCTCCACTACCATAAATATAATCAGCTAAAGGCTCAATGTGTCACTACTGTTCTAATTGATGAATATGCAATCCATCAGGTGGATGATGTAGAGTTAGTTCATGGCAGATGGTGTAAAGGACTGAATAAGAGGAGAGGGATAGATAACTGCACAGCAATGAAAAACAATCTCTTCCTCCTGTTTTTGCTTTGCTATTTGTCACTGTCTCTGTGGACATTCCTGGACTTTTGGATTCCTGCAGCTGTAGTTTTAATCATTTTTATTGACCCAACACACAAGTGAGTGTTGATGATGGAGGGAAGAAGCATCTGAAAGAGAACAAAAGGTTGATAAAGTGCTTAATGTGTTTAATCTACAGTGTAGTTCTTGATTAGAAAGTTATGCTAAAATTGTATACAGTACTTCAGTTCCAGTAGTACTTGTGTACTGTAGTACTTGTATACTGGACAGAGATAGCATAAACTGGCTGCAAGTTGTTAGATGCTTATTCTTGTCAGAATGTCTGTAAAAGAAAGTGATTTCAGCATGATAGACATCCTGGCCAGAAGAAATGATAAAACTGAGTTAAGCAGAACACTAATTTTATACACTCTCAATTACCTTGAAAATGCAGCTTTTAATGCAGGAAATGAATGTCCATCAACTTTTGATTGAAGGAAGAGAAATAAGAAGCTTGATTTTACTTCTACTCACCTTCCTGGGAAAAGTGGGTTTTCACCCAGTGAGACAAGATTAAAAAACCCTCACAATCTTTTCTGTAACTTGGAAAGAATGTAGGGTGGTTTTATGTACTATCCAAACAAGTTTCCTTTGCCACTGTGGAAGTGTAAAAAGAACTAAATAACAAAAAAGAAGCATCTGAATAAATGCAAGTCTTGAATATGAAATCATCTGATAAGAAAACATTCTAAAAGGCTAAAAGGTATTTTGTATATTTCCCATGGGACAGTGCACAGAAGCATTAATCTTTTTCAATCTGCAAAGGAAGCAAAAGAATATGTGGAGGTTAATGAGGGTATTCCTTACTATTACAGAAGGGCATGGCACACAGATGTATGCAGATTACATTATCTAGATGTCTAGAATAATTGTCTTTTGAATGATGCAGAACCTAGAAAACTTATCTTTTCTCAGTGGCTGCCAAAGCACAAAGCAGTGAAGCAGAGAGAGTAAATCAAGCAAGAAGAAGTAAGCAGACATATGTATTCTGGAACCTGTCAGCTTATGTCCACCAATCTTTTTTTTTTTTTTTTTTTTTTTTTTTGGTACCTAAACACAGAGGAAAATATATTGCAAAGTGGAAGATGTCCTTTGCTGTCAGTGTAGCAGTAGAAATCAAAAGTGGCTGCAGATTCTTTCTTGGGTTGGCGTATGGAAAGGAGTGGAGTGATAAGCTTCCAAGTTCCAAGTTATGAAAGCGGTCAGAGAGTGCAGGCCGTATAAATGGACTAAGTCTTACTCCTTCAAGTAAGGCTTTGACAGGACTGTGTGCTTTTAGCTGGTGTAGGCAGCTATGAGCAGAAGTACAAACAAAAATGAAGTACAAAAAAAGCACAAGTACAAAAACCACTTTAACACTTACTCCTGGGACAGTCACTCAGATATACAACTGCTAAATAAACCTCACTTTACCTATCCAAGACTTAATGGTAGAACCTACCTTCATGCAACTCATTCATCTAAACACTCCCACCAAAATGAAATGACTGTGGAGAGGTTTTGCAGGATCTGGCCCCCAAAGCATAACTGTTTCCAAACTCTTATTTAGGCTTGAGGTACTCCTGGTATTCTTGCAAAATATAGCTAAAGGTGGCTGTCATTGATTACATTGTAATTAAAGACCAGGATATTCAAATTCAATTTAATTTCCTCCTAGCACTACTGAAAATGGAACTCTGCTTCAATGAAAGCCACACTTACAATGCAGGACACAGAGGTTTGCAGGATAATAGGTTCACAGAGTAATTTGCTACTGACAGTTATCAAAAGCTTCAAGATGTATTTTGAAATCAGGTCATCAGAGGTTTTGTAAAGAGTAAGGTTTTGATATTGCCCACAAACATTTCTTCTCTTTGCTTCTTTTACTTTCAGTCTTTGGACAAGTGGTTTCCTTCCCCCATCTAAATGTATCCCTAGTTTCTTATATTTTGGACAAGTGAAAAACAGAAGATAAACTGCATTTATATTTCTTATTAGTGATTTTTCTCCACTAAAATTCACTGGAAACATAGGGAAACAGCATTGACATGCAGTGATGTTCCAAAGAACATGACAGCATTTCTGTTTTCCTTTCAAGTATGAAAGGAACTGCTTTTCAATCGAATCTCCTTCTTTTCCTTCTTTTATTTTGAGGTGAGAAAAAAAAATAATAAAGTCTTTCAGAAGAGAAAAAAATACAATGTAGTTTTTAGGTAGGGTTTATCATTAACGATTTGTAACTATTCGCTATTCAAAGTCCTTTTTACTGATTTTTGAATATTTTCTTTGCTTAAATACAATTATTGAGACAGTCTGTAAAAGAAGCAATTCAGTTTGACAACAAAAACCAAATTGTTTGTAAAAAATGTGTATTTTAAGAATTTAATGGTTAAAAGTTTGAAAAATACAAAATAAGTTTCTAGACTAAAATATAGTTGGTAGTTCAGGAAAAATCCTTTCAACCTTTGCTACATGTGGCAACTACTCCACCTTTAATCCAAGGGTAACAGTTTAATTTTCAAAAATGTATTCAATCTTCAGGTCAGATCTGGGGAACGTAGATAAGGTCTGCAACATTTAACTTTATGGAAGAAATAAAAATGTCCTTTGGCAGCATTTTTTTTTTTTTTTTTTAATTTGGTAAAATAACATTGAGAGAAAAAAATAAGAATGCATAAAAATGAGGGCACTTTTTAGTACACTTCAATCTGAAGAAAGTCACATATTACGAGTGCTATAGTGATTTTTACTAATGGCCTGTGATCTGCTACAATGACACAAGCATCTTGTTTTGCTTCAAGTAGAAGTACTTTAGAAATCAACGACCATCCTGTGTTTAACCACTCATAAAAAAGATAGTTAAAATCTTGAAAAACTGTAGAAGTTATGCCTACAGCTGCCTGTGTGCAGAGATAGGCAAGTCATTTATTTTTATCAAAATATTAGTGTTATTTCTACCCCAAATTAAAACAGATACATGTAGGTAAGCATCAAATTCCATGATTCCCAGACCTGTGCAGAAAGTAACTTCTGTATTTTGATCTCACCAGAGACATAGATTACCGTCTTTTGATGGTTTCTCTATAGCAAGGAGATCATCAAGAAAATATTTCCCAGAACCTATGGGACATAGCTCAAGTAAGTTTAAATACAAATGAGTAGTTTCATGGGCTTTAGCTTATTTGCTAATGCAAGTGTGTTGTGTCTTGCTCTGAGCCTCAGGGATATGGCAGCATTTTGAAGAAACTATGGGAATGAAGAACAAAATGACATACTTAACCTTTCACTGAACTGTGTATAGCTTCTATGTCAAGGGAGAATAGTAAGAATTCTAATATACAATAATTATTCATAAACATCGCTTACACTACAAATTCAGCTGAATTTTTAGGAATCTTTCCCTTAAAATGAATAGCAGTAAGGAGATAATTCTTCCATGTTTTTCTTTTTAGGCAATTAAAATTCTTCATCACACTCTGTGACGGTGAAGGTTAATGTGGCCTTTATAATTTGAGATGAAACTGACCATGTCCTTCACTTTTGCTGCACTTTCACCATCTCTCCTCAGTGTGAAAACATAGCAGTCTTCACCACTACAGGCAACTTTTAAAGATAGAGGTATCCAACCCAGTAGACCAGGTTAAAGAGCAGGAAGGACGTAGGAAAAAAGACCCTAGAGTAAGAGTCCAATTCTAAGATGTCTATGTGAATCCGTCCTCTCCTCCATGAGCCTGATTTACATTCTTCATAACAACAGAAAAAACTCTGGCAGTCTTTCCCATCCAGACATTCATAGACACATGCCTCTTCAAATTCTTGCCAATACATGGCATTGTTCAATGTGATGACTGTAGTTGGTGGTCTCATATCAAGTACAGAATAATTCTGAGGAGAGAAAAAGAAACAAACAATGTGATGAACTCTTACGGATGATGCACAATTAATAATCATATGAGAAGTCACATGAGACATGAAATCTGAGCTGGGAGTAAGAGGTCAATACCACAGGAATTCTAGATTCAGGGACCAGCTTTCTTTCCATCAAAGGATGCCTTATCAGATGAATTTCCAGAAAGGTGGTGGAGTGCTAAGTTAAATAAGCTGCATTCACTACCTCTTAAACTTACCATTCAAACAGATACAATTTTGCACCAAATAGCCATGACTTAAGTACAGGATTTTAAAACACTGTTTGACAGCTGTCTGAACACGAGCCAGCAGTGTGCCCAGGTTGCCAACAAGGCCAACAGCATTCCGGACTGCAGCACAAATAGTCTGGTCAGCAGGATGTTCCTCTGTACTCAGCCCTGGTGAGACTGGATCCTGATATTGTATTTAGCTTTGAATTCCTCATTACCAGAAAGATATTAAGCTGCTCAAACACATACAGAGAAAAGCAGCAAAGCTGCTAAAGAAACTGAATAAAAAAAACAAACACATGAGCAGTGGCTGAGGGAACTAAGGTTGTTAAGTCTGGCAAAGAGAAGGCTGAAGGGGAACTGCATCAGTCTCAACATGTACCTCAACTGAGGTTGTAGTGAGGTGGTGTTAGTCTCTTTTCTCAGGTGACAAAACATAAAGAAATGGCCTCAAGTTATACAGATGAGCTTTCAGTTGGATATCAGGAAAAAGAATTTATTCACAGGAAGGGTGGGTCAGACATTGGAATTGGCTGCCAAGGGAAGTGGTGGTACCTCTGTCAATTATGTTCTAAGAGATGTGTGCATGGGGCAGTTAGGGATATGGTTCAGTGTTGGATTTGATGGTGTTAGATTGATGGTTGGATCTGATGATCTTAAGGATTTTTTCCAACCTAAATGATTCTATGATTCTATGCTCTTCTTGGTGTCCACCAGGACTCCAAGGTCCTTTTCTGCAAAGTTACTTTCTAACTGAGTGGACCCCACAGTGTACTAATGCCTGGAGTTGTTCTTCCCTGGGAGTTTGTGCTTCTCCTTGTTGAATTTCACAAGCCTTTTTCTCCAGCTTGCTGAGATGGGGCTGGGAGGAGAGCAGTACTCATACAACAGACACCATCTCAGTACCACCTGAGAAATATGCCAAGGTAAGGCACTTCTCAGGTGCCTCATGCAAAACATTTCAGATGCAGTGATGAAACAAGCTTCATAAAATTATTTCAGATATAGCATATGCATGTTCTCCATGAGGAAAAAAATGAGGGGTGGGATTACCTGAACATAGATTGACTAAGATTACTGAAATTTAACCTTTTAAGTTGCATCACTTCAAGGTTGACAAAAACTCAAGCTATCCTGGGAGTAATTGACTTACGTTGTTCAGCTTCTGCAGCATTTTGCATGCAAATTTGTGACACTTTAAAAGTAAGCTCCACTTCAATATTAGGAAATGTTCTCATGTCTTAACATTAGGAAGGGTGGGTAAAAAACTTTAAAAATCTGCAGGTAAACTTCCAAGCAGATAAGACTGACTACCAACCTTAATATTTTAATTGTATTTATTTTTTCTTCTTCAATTGCAAAAAAGGAAATTGCCACTAACCATTCATTGTGCCTTACTGACCAAAGCTTTCTTTTTTTTCAAAATTCTTTCCAAGGAATGACAGCAGTAGTAAATGTATAAATGCAAATCCATTCATTAGGTTATTCATTGTCAATATGCAGACTTTCAGTGCTATGAGCTCTTTAAATGGAACAGAAAACCTTTTAAAAAACTTATTTTAAATTAAGTTTATAATTTGTGAAAGGTAAACTAGCAACGTGAAGCTAGGAATTATAAACAATACACTTCAGCATATAAAAATCAAGAAATATGAAAGAGGTAGTTAAGTTCAATCCCTCTTTGTGTTTGCATTGGATATCCGGAAGTGGACCATTCATCCAGCTGCTACACTGATCTTCTGTATCCTTTATATATATCTGCATATTACAGTATGTATTACAGTTTTAGATTTCAACTGGGTGCTCAACTTAAACTTTATTGCAGCTGAACTTAACCAAACAGTTATCTGGAAATTTGAGGAATATAATTAATTCTATTTTTAGATATGTTTCTAATACACTCCTAATTATGCTAAACTCTTAAACCCAAAATATTTGAAAATCCATCTGAAAGTTTGTGAAAGATTTTACAGATGTACATAAGTTATTTTTTACAAAATTCATTAACTAAAACTCCACATACATTTTTGTTGGACTTGTTCTTAATAATTTTTACTAAAATGTAATGTAGAAGTGCAGCATTACGTACAGCAGAAGAACAGAATTCTTGGCTAAGAATAGCACAAAATATTTACACTTGACCCTTCTCTCTCCCAAATCATTTGATAAGTCTTTACAGAAAGAGGCAGGTATGTTCCTCTACCACAGTCAAAAACAAACTGACCTTTTAACAACAAAGCAAAAACAGTATTTATAGTGAAGTCAGGGTGAAGTATAACACAGCATTATAGCTTTCTCAGGAATTATTGCAAATAAATGTCAACCATACATTCGAGCCGCCATTGCTGTCACAGGACTAAACAGGATACTTACCATCACATGACCAAAACTGACATCAGGTAGCTTAAATAAAGATAAGAAAAGAACTATTCAGAGGAAAATATAAGTATTGCTTCATATGTACCTAATACTAAATACCATTTCTTAAAACACATCTTTAAATGCATTTCTCCCTAAAACTCTTCATACTGAACCTTCAAATTATTTTATGTAATATTCTGCACACTTTGAAACTTCATGGAATCTGGAGAATGTGCACCCTGTTTCCATCCACTTTAAGAATTTATTCAACCTTTTTTATTTTTATTTTTAATTTAGTAAACAATAGCTAAGGATTTCCTCACAAGTTAACTTATATACTATCAATGTTGCATGTCTTCCTTCATCTTCTTTTATGTCTGGAAATACATCTTGCCCACAAGGATACTAAAGACTCTTTCATCCAATTTCTCTATAGGATAGCTATTTTAGTTTGATCATTAGGAAGTTCACTTTGATTGTCCCATAAATTTCTTTTGGTAATACTCTTCTGCCTTTCCCATGTAATGCATTTTTACAAATAGCTATTAGAGGTTTAATGGAGTTTTCATTAACCAAGTTTATTGGTTTTCACGTTTTCTCTAATTCCGTATTATTTTAATCTTTTCCTCTGTTATTTCTTCATTGAATCACTTTCTATAGCTTGTTTCAATCCACTTCTACTTCCTGACCAATTATTCCCAGTATTCACCTTTCTTTCTTTAGTTCCTCCTTCATAGTTTTCCTATTTGACTTTGTATTGCTGTTTTAAATAATTGTATGTAAAGAGCTGGTGTATTGTTATTGCAACGGTCTTTTTGTCTAAAAATGCATCTTTTTTCAAAGACTTTGCAAGTGCCCTCCTTTGTTCTTGTATGTAGGAACATTTGAACACAGGGCTAAAAATAAGTGCTGGTGCCCAATATGAAAAACAAAATCCCATTTTTAAAATTCATAAATATTCCTAGACCTGTTAAGACACAAGATAGCAGATGCATTTGATTATACACTGATGTACATACGATTTCATAATGAGCTGTGATACCTGTTTCAGTGAAGCCCTTTGTGACTACTAGAAGAGTAATGAGGGGGAAAAGGACACATGGGCAGAGTTGCTGCTTCATGGTCAGCAGGTTCCTTCTGTTAAGAACAGAACTCTTGGTAATTACTTTCCATCAGCTTTCAGGGTAAATAATACCTTGAAGTGGGAAAAGGCTAGGAGGAGTGGAGTGTAATGAGATTACAGGATGTTACTAAATGATTCTCAAACCTCTGAGCAACAGTATTGAAAAGAAAACACTCCTGTCTTACCGACTTTTTCTTCTTAGTACAGTTTGGTTTCCTGCAACTGGAGTAGTAGTTGAGCGTTGCGTACTCCATCAGAGCAGCAAATACAAATAGAAAGCATACAGTCACAAACAAATCCATAGCGGTGACATAGGAGACACGGGGTAATGACTTTCTTGCAATGGTGCTCAAAGTTGTCATGGTCAATACTGTAGTAATCCCTAAAGAGAAAAACTGGATTTACTTTTATGTAATATAGTTTCTGCAGGCTTAAAAGAATCTTTGGAAAACTCTACACACAACAGAATACCAAAGCATACACAAATTTTCAGAAGAAAGTCATTCGTTTTGTCTGGCAGTATAAAAATAATGAAAAACAACTGTAGAGGGAGAAGCATTTAGTAAACAAAACTTTCCTCAGTTGTTCATATTTGTCTTTGCAACACAGAAGTTCCCATGCCCCTCAGTATACTTTTCCTCATCTCCTTATATTTTTTTTAAGAAAAGTAAAAGAAAGCCCAACAGAAACCCAGAACCATTAGTACAAAGAAACAAAGCAAAATCCCTAGAAAACATAAATGAAAACATGCTGTTGGCTTTTTTTTTTTCACAGCAATACTCCTCTAGTGAAAAATCTTGTGCTCAAAATAAAAAAATAAAAAAAAGAAAAGAGAGAGAGAGAAAAAAGAAAATAAAATAACTTTTGCTGCTAATTATGAATTTTGAAAATACATTTTCACAACCCTGCTTCCTTGGGAGTGCTCCACTGCTGTTTTCTTTCTGGGTAAGGGAAAACAGATTCTCATACAAGCTTCAGATGCAACCTTAATGGAAATAGCTTTTTCAATTTGTACAAAGCATCACAGCTTAGATTGATATAGTAATAATGAATATAATCGGGATTACTTAGAGTGAAATATCCTGAAACAATAAAACCAGTATTAGAATGAAGTCTATGGGGTGTCAGTTATTTGGCTGTTAGGTAATTCACATCACTCGTGTTAATTCCTCAGCAGAAGATGGCTTCTCATTCCTATTTTGGACTGACGTTTTTAATCATTCGTTATTAACCACAAGTCTTTATATAGGAAAAACTAAAACTCCTCAATGATTTGGAAAGAAAAATAAAGCACTCACTCAAGTAATTCCCAAAAGAGAGCCTGCTCTAAAAACATAACTGTAAGGTAATCTTTCTTTTTATAGTTAAAGTGGTATTTTGCAATGGTACATAGTGTTTGAAATGGCGGGGGATAATTTAAATTACGCCTTATAGTAAAATTACTTTCCACAAATGGAACGGCGGAGAGCAAAAAGTATCAGTGGATTACTTGTGACTACTTTCTCTTTGATAAAGTATGCCCACCTCTGATTTTCAGCACTTGAAACTACAGCAATTCACAAGAATAACCTGCCTCATTCAAACCGTAAAAAAGTCTCTGGAAGAGCCAAAATGACGATTAATGCATGCGCCTGGATTTTCTCTTACAACAAATAATGAATAGAAACAGAAAAAAAAAAAAAAAAAAAATTGCTGAAAAGAAGAAAAAAACAAATAACAACCCAATAATCAAGATCAAAGCAATGCTGGTAGAAAGCGGGAAATGTGGAAAATTTTCCTTCCACGGGAAACAGCCTTATTCTGTGTATGTCATCTCAATATTTGGCACTGTCTTGCACTGGAACCCAGAGCAGCCACTTTAGTTCATTCAAACTTTAAGCTAGCTGATTCATCCAATCGTATATATTCAACAACACAAATAGTACAAAAGAGTTATCCCAGTATGACTGAATACTTTGCAGATTTTTTTCAGGTTTTGTGGTTTTCACTAATTTTCTACTGCTGCTAACGTTAGTCTACACACGAATTGCAATTACATTTTTGAACCTCAACATAGACATGCTTTTAGACTTTGTACGTATCTTCAACATCTAAAAGGTACTTCAAAAATATTTGTTTCATCTCTATTGTATCACAATGTAGGTGGCTGCCATGGTCCAGTAACACCTACAGACCCCTCAACAACAGCTCTGTAGCTAATGAACCTTTTAACAGCTCCAGACACAAACCCTATGCATTCATCAGAGTGATCAACTGCAAAAATTTCCAGTTGCAACAAATGTTGCCTTGACTTGGTCCTTGTTAGCTATAAATATATTTTTCTTCCTGGATGACCATGTTTCAGATTTTGGGAGGAACTTTTTTTTTTTTTTTTTAAAGAAACTGTTAGCATTCAACCTCAACTGTTTTGACAATGAATCATGTTTTGCTATCAAAATATAAAACCTTAGAGAACAGAAAGTTTGAGAATATCACAAACCATCACAATTTCCAGATTATATGTCACATTTCAAATTATGTCAAGGCCATGACATATGAATGCCATGTGTAGAGCTGGAAACATTCAAAGGCAGAACAATCAGATTGTTACTTCCATTATTTATATACAGTATTTTCACAATATGACAACAATTATAGAAGAATCATTCCTCGTTTAAGCTGAGGATTAGACTTGGATTTCAGCTCAGACAAAGAATGAGCTTTTAAAATAACAAAAATTCACTCTCGTATATCAACTTTACCTGACACATTGACACAAGTTTTGAAATATTAAAATGAGTCCTATGAGGACACATGCAGAGAGCAAAGAGAAAGAAGTGTACAAGATGATATTGTTTTACATTCCTATGCAATTGTAAGTCAGAATACGCCAATATTCACATAAGAATAAAATAAAAAAAACACCACTGCCGAATACAATATCTAGATTCCTTACCCTTAGTTCATTTTATCTATCATGTTAAGAAAACTCAGTTTGGTGAGTGGTTTTAAATGCAATAAACTTTGATAGATTAAATTGTTAAGTCTCTCGCCTAGGAGACATCAATACTGTGAAGTGAGCTTTGAATCTGTTATTGAAATTTGCAGTGCTTTGGAACTATTTCAGCAGAAATCTAACATCAGCCAGGAACAGCTTTGAAGTAAGCTAGCTTCAAAAATTTCTGGTAGGTAGGTGTGAGAAGAAGCACATGCTTGTGCATAAATTTCACTTTTGTGACATTTATATTCTCCGAGATACCAAAGATAGAATGAATATTTGATAAATCAAAAAGGGTTTTCCAGTACATCAGTGTAGGTATACAAAATGCATGAGAACACTTTAACCTTTAGATCATTGGCATAAATAGTTATTTAACATAACAGTTGTCAGAAAGCTGCTTACTGTGCAGTGGCATTTCAAGTGAAGTAACAGGAGTATTAGAAACTATTTGGTCAGGGAGGCTCTATTTTTCTTATTTTCCCATAGGAAAAAGTATATTGGTTTACCCAAGTTTATAAATTTATAAATTTACCGAAGTTTATTGTTTATAAACTTCATTTCTTCACCTTTCTGGTCTGGCATCTGTTTTGAGCATTTGCTTTATTTTTCCATGGAAGGAACTTAAGGCAAAATGACAAGGACAGCAATGTTCACTTTTTCTTAAACATCATCTCTAACTTCTTTTATACCAAAGCATCGCTGCCCTTGATACCTACTACGTTTTTTAAGCTTCCACCTGAAGTTGCTGTACAGTAACTGTCTCTTCATATTATACATTATAGCCATTTTTTAAGAAGCAGGGGGGAGCTCAGATGAAAGCTTTGGTTTAACTTAATTCCCTTCATCCTCAAGAAAAACAGCCCTCTATTTTTCAGATCATAACTTTTCTTCAGACACTTGCTGGCTGTTCTTGACTGTGAACATCGGGAGAAGATCATTTTGATTACCAGAGACAGGTAAATACAGCAGAAAGCTATTTTTTCCCCTCTGAATGGAGAAGAGAAGAGTATAGCTAGAGATCACAAAACACAGTTCTCATGCAACAGCTGAATTCTATTTCCATTTTCCCACTGACTCTTCAAGTGTCCTGGAGTGAATCACACTAACACTCTTGGCCTCAGCCCCTCAAAGAGCGTGTTAAAAAGGGGCTGTGATGCCAAGTTTTTAGAAACCACTTAAATGCCTTTAGACAGTGCTGCTGAAAGCATTATTATGGTCCCATTTTTTCCTTCAGCAAAATATCCCTGACTGCATTTAGTTTTCCAGAACAAAAATTACTTATTACTTAGAGTTATTCAGAAAGGGGTAAAACCCGTCCTTCATATAACCCTGAGTAGTTGCCAATAGCTTAGAAAATTACTCATTAATTTCAGAGAGTGAAATGTTTCCCTGATGCTAGTCCTTCACATTAATGCAGTTATACTCAGGGCAGTTTTGGTGCACCGAGTATGCAATTCATTTCAACTAATTAGCAGGATAATTTCAGTGGTTTGCCTCTGGCTGTATTACTCAGATTTTACCATGTGCCACTCTCAAAATGTGGAAGTGTGTTGCTCAGATAGATTTATAGCTTCTGTTATACAGGCAGACCTACAGTAAGTTGGGAACATTTGCATCTGGCATCCCAAGAGTCAAGAGGCCATTTGCAAATTGGGAGTAATGGGTCTCTGATCATGTACAAAAAGAGGTGACCCATATACATATTATTTTCTAGTCACTTGACTTTATTTATAAGAAAGTTTTATTTTATTTTAATTTTCTATCACAGTTTTTATGAGTTAGCAATCACAGCCACTGGATACAGCCTTGGAATATCTCACTTTCAAGGTCTTACTTCAAATTCACAACCTTAATATAGAAATACATTTTTTCTCTGATCTTATTGCTGGTAACAGGGGGGAGGCAAGGAGAGCCACACTGTTATGATCAGTATCCTACTTTTGATTCTAATTAATTTAAAACTGAGTTGTGTGGTGTGGAGAACTACTCTCAGAGACAGGGTATGAAGTCTGCCTCCAGAAAATTAGTAATGCTAGACACCTTTTATCCCTTTTTGCTTTTCTGGTAAAAATAAGCATTAAGGAAGATAAGTCAAATGGATGCTCTGCACACACATGGGGCTTTGTAGTTGAAAACAACAGAGCACGGTCAATCTTTTCTTCTCCACTGAGCCATTCAATTTCAGAAGAAAGTTGTTCCACAGGAAAGTATGCTAAAGGCCTATTCAACTTTCTGGCCACCAGAGGAAACAGCCAGGAATAGATAATCACGCAGGTGCTCTGTCCTCACTGTTAGTCTATCTTCACATTGCCTTGGAGGTAGAAGGGGTCACAGATTAGACTCTTAGGGTCTTCCGTATTGCCAGAGCACTCTGGCACTCAGAAAATGTTAGTTGGACACACAAGATGATGCATGGCTACATTTGTCAGTTTTACAAACTCCTGTAGCAAATCTTGCAGATTTCAATTTTGAGCTCACCTCATGCAAAAAGGGTTTTAATACAGAATTATCTGTAAAATATGAACTAATGTTGTCTGCTTGTACTTGCCCTATTAAAGGTTCTTTTAGGTTTTCCTTACTATTGATCCTGCTACCATCCACTGAGTCGCTCTTGGCTTGAAAGATGTCCCTTGTCATTCACTAAGATTTAAAGCTGATACAACCTCTACCTAGAAAGATGTCTAAGGATTGAGAGTGGCATGGTTGGCATATAGGCTTTTTTGCTTAGGCTAGTGAGGGACTCATTCTTAGAGAGTATTTTCAATAATATAATTCTTCTGTCATTCAGCAGAAGGTTAATGAACTATGGGAACATAGATGATTTAGAAAGATGGCTTTCATACCAGGTGTTAGTATACTTTGAACAGATGACAATATGCTTTTGGTGTAAGTTAAGGACTTAGAAAGCGGGATTAGAATTCTGGAAGAGTTCAAGTGACTTTGCAGCTAAAATCTCATTCAAAGTCAGTGGGCTTCAAAATCTCTTTAGCACCTCCTTTTTATTTTTCCCTTCAGATCCGTCAGGGGGCGTAGGCTGGAAACTAGAACACTTAAAACTGGTGGCTTCTCAGAATTATTAGTTCAGGAGAGGGACAGCGAGAAACAGGATAAGTCATTTTAAAGTAATATATAAAGGCAGCACTGTTGAACAAGTTGTCCTCCTGAGATCAAGTACAGCACCTGTGTTTTGTTGTTTGGAAGAGAGCAGACAAATGAATTTGCACAAAAATTAACAACCATTTCTGGTAAATGCTTACTTATTTGGGTGGAATGGGATGACAAATACTTGATCAGAAGCTTAGGAGAGTGAAAGTTCATGCAAATGGACTTTCCTATCATGTGGTTTGAATAAAGGTCCACTGTCTCACAGAAGGCCTCGAGAATCCCATGCCTGCTGTATTCATGCAGTCTCAGGGTAAACAGCCCATCTGTATCCTTTGTCCTAGCACTTCCTTGCAGCAGTGCCTCCACCTCAAACTAGGGGATTCAGTTGCTTTTACAAATGTTTTCGGTCCAAAAAATGTTATCTGTTCAAAAAATCAAGTGAGTTGGTTTTCAATAATCTGTTGTTTTGCGTTGGAATGATTTAGAGGGCACACTTGGTTAAACAGAGATGTGAGAAGCTCCAACAGGAGGAAGCAATGAATAGCTGAGAACGGTAACACCTACTTTTGAAAATATATATGTAAAACATGACATACCTCCCCTTTTTCCTATACTAGTGTAAATTTTTCCTGACTGAATAAATTAGTGATCTGCAGTGCTGGCAACCTCAGTCTGAACCAAAATGTTTTTCTTTCAGTTCTGATGTACACCTATAAGGCTGTTGTCATACGACCTTATGCCCTTGACACTTGTAAAAAGCTGCAGGTTTTCATATAGACATAAGAAAAAATGGTCAGAGTTTCTTGGTGTATCCTAAAGCACAGTGCCAAATAGCAAACAGTTGTCCTGACATAAATGACCTGCTGAAAAATCTTTTTCAGAACAACATATGAAAAATATCTACACGCCTAGAATGGGGCTTAACTTCAAGCTTACAAACATAAAACATTTTGAATGAACTAATATTATTATATCCCACAGTTTTTTAGTATACATACGACATCATATCCTGTAGGGAAAGAGTTTCAGAAGAAAAAGAAGCCAGCAGTACAATTAATTTATTCTTTAAAAATGTCACTGAAATATCATAGTGAGAACAAGGGGAGAGCCATTAGTTCTAGAATATTATGCAAAATATGTGGCAGTGTCATTCCAAAGGGTCAGGGTAGTTTACTTTTAATTACCCTTTAAAAGGCAGAAAACAAAAGGCTTCATTGATAAATAGGCTTCATCGATAAATAGACAGGAGTCTGCAAGACATGGTAGCATTAATATAAAGCATATATCTTGTGGTCTTTTTGAAAGGAAGCTGACATTTTCAAATTACAGTATAGAAACTACATGAAGAGAGCAGAGAAAGAAATTATTAACAACTTACCTAATGCTGTTCTTGCTGGTGTGGCATCTTTTTTAATCCAAAAGGACACCCAGGAAAGTACAACAGTTAATATACAGGGAATGTATGTTTGAATAGTGAAGTATCCCATTCTTCTACTTAAGTCGAAGTATATAGTCATGACTACATAATCACCTGCAATAATAGCAGAGAAAATAAATTGACATTGTGGTGAGATACAGGTAGTTCTTCATTGTGCCATGTTTTTAAGCTCCATAAAATACAGCATGTAAAATGTTTCTCAATGTTTCGGGAGAATCTGAACAATAGTGTTCACATAAAGACAAGAATTGAAATAAACTTGTCCATTCTAATTTCCTATAGTTTACGTCTCTGAAAATGTTGACCTATTTGAACAGGCAGAGGCTCTTGGGAATCCTTCATGATGAGTAATCTTTTGAAAGGCATCTTGGCTTTCCAAACTTGGTATTTCTGAATGGGTGAGTGGCCACAAACATGAATCTACCTTCATTCACTAGATGTGGAAGCAGCCCCCATAAAATCTCTCCTTCAGCAGACTGTGCTGTCCTTCTTGCAGATTTGAATGACTTCTGTTGCCTTTTCCTAACATGTGAATCAGGTGGTAGGGGTCTGTATGACAAAGTGTAGCATGCACACCAGTATGCCTTTATATAATAAGTTATTTATAGACACTGGAGCCTTGATGCTGGTGAAAGAGGTCAGAATACATACTTTTAAAGGTCACATCACTATAAATCAAGAGTCTGCTTTTATCACAATTCCTCCATCTAAAAGTAGTAATGGTCACTTGTGGTACTGTAAACTTCCAGAAGATGAGCCTGGACATAATGCTTATTATTCTGCAGGATACTAAAAATCATAAGATCAAGAGCTCAGTAAGAAGCCTGTTTTATCTCACATTATATGATTTTCTTCACACTATCTCTTCTGCTAATCTTCACAACTCCATAGGGGATAACAATCTGTCCCTCTCTCTCTACATAGTAGACACCTTATCACCTCTATCCTCAGTAGCAGCTCCCTCAGTTTCACAGCTGTTAACTATCCTTTTCTCTCAGACAGCCACAGTGATTAACAATAATGAAATTGAACTGAGACCAATTTCTGTACTTTGCTTGGAGTATGTTGATTCAATTTTAGATGTGAAGACGAGCTTATAAGCCAGAGAACTTTTGTGGGTTTTTTTGTTTTTTTCTTTTTGTCTGACTATGTCACTTGACTAATAAATTATATTGCTTCTTGGTACAAGCCTTGCTTTTCTAGAATCAGATATTTGCAAAAGATGTAATTTACTATAGATAGGTAAATCTGTCCTGTTACAGTAAAATTCCAAAACAAATTGATAGCACAGAGGAATTAGTTCCCAACAGATTGGTAACTGAGAATGTATAAACAAAATCACTGAATACAGTGGATATTTTGACAATAGCAAAATATGACACAGAAAATAAATTAATTCAGTAAAAATAACTTCCACCCAAAGAAACTCTGAAGGCCACTATAAAATGAGTGATCTTCCATAAGTTAAAATGTCAAAGGTAAATAAAAATCTGAGGGTGGCATTTAGGAAGAGAAACTTAGAATGAGTCAATAAGAAATGTTCTATGTGTTAGGACATTATTTTAAGATAGCTCCAAATTGGAAGAGGTTTAATATGCTCATGGGTACTTCCACCATGCCTAAGTTAGATGAATGGATGGATTTTCATGAGTGCTGTGCAAGTACAAACCTTATGACCCCAAGAACTTGGACATTCATTCCAAAATTCCTCATGCATTTAACACCGAAAAACAAAGCTTTAATACTAGAGCCCAGTGCTGTTACAAGCACAGAGCACTGTAATACATCATAATGTAGTGAGCCTTGTAGGTTTTCATAGACTGGTTAATTTCATTCCACTAATCCCCAGCACTTTTCTCCCTGCAGGGAATGGCAGCAGGGAAGTGACGTGGGTAAGTATCCACTGGTCCTTCTGGCTTATTATTAAACTGTATCAGCCTTCTAATCTTCGACTGAGAAGAACAAAACCAACTACCCAGTGTGGCTCATCTGAATTTTACAAAGAACTGCAAATTCCCAAGTATCCAACAAAGACCCATAAAAGCACTTAAGGAATATGAAATCCTAGGATAATGATTGGTTCAATTCATTTAACCACTAACTTCTTTTCTTGCCTGAAATTCACACAAAAAATTCTCACGTGAAGAAGGGAGACACAGTCATATAAGCAGCAGCCGCGCATATGAATTTATATACTGTACCCTCTGTGATGTTCTCTAACTTACATATTGATAGGCAATATAAAAAAAACATTGGGAGAATAATTTTGATCAGTAGAATTACTGGCACACAGTGGAGTAAGATAAGAATTATCTGGTTTTCCTACAAGAATTTTGCAGAACGTGGAGAGGACACAGCTTGGAGAATAACAATATTGATGGTAATGCATAGGAAAAGGAGAAGGAAATCACCACTGCTGAAATGGAGGCCAAATGTAAAAATGTTGGGGGTGCTGTTAAAGATAAACCCTTTTCTGTACTACATGTACTGAATGCATTTTTTAATAGTTTTTGTAAATTTTAGTTTACAAGTAAGTGACCACTTCAGTTCTATCTTCAGTTAGTGTTGGGACACTTGAATAGTTTTTTCTGCATATGGAAGAGCAGATCTGTGTATGCTGCGGCTACTTTCCTTGATGTACTGCTTCAGGATGCATTATTGTTATCAAAGTCTAAATTACACCTTCCAGAAACGTGCACTATTCTCTCGGTATCTAAAAGCACTTGGCTGCAGCTTAAAGAAAACTAACTGTGCAACATACATTTCAGAATTTCTCTATATATGCAAAATAACTTGACAGGTACTTAACACTCATGACAAACTAACTTTCAGAACAAAGAAACATTCCCCTCTTCTAAAAGACCTGACCTAAAACCCATTCTGTATGTCCTGCAGGCATGAGCAACCCAAAGGACAGAAAAAGCTTTCAAAGACACTGCATTCTTTCTCCTTGCTTCATTACCAGCCTTCGCAACCCCATCAGCCATTACTGCGACTGTTCGGACAGAAGCTAGGGCTTATTATGCGACAAAACCCTGCAGACAAGACGGGAAAACACTCCTAACTTCATATCATTAAATCAGTGTTCTTGATTTAAAAGCAATCACAGAATGATTGCCTGCCTAGGAACCACTGTGATAGCAAGTATTAGGAAACTTTGAAATTCAGAGAGGAATTCTACTTTTTAACAGCTTAAGGAATTTCTCAGGAAGGCAAACTAACTTTTAACCGAACTATCAGACCAATTCACTGTAATAATGAAAAGTACCTTACGGCAAAATAATCCATGATAGTTTTCTATAACAAGAACAAAAGATGCATCTTGAGGCAGGAGAAACGCAGCAAGGCTTCCCGTGAAACCAAAATAACCACTGTCTGACCCATAGAACTTGTATTAGTTGAACATTTCAGTATGAAAATAGGACACCATTTGGAACAATAATAATTTTATAAGGAATAATCACTGTGGATTTTAAAGAACAGTGCTGAACTGTAGTCTATTTCCATTTTTTTATTGAACATTAAGGACATGCTTGACAGAATTGCCAGAATTTTATCTGCATTGCACGAAGGACAGTTCCCTTTAAGGATAGAATATTTTAAGAAAATATTCTAAAAATATGTATTTACTCAAACCACATTGTACTATCTTATCGCATGCTTTCAGTTATCCTCCCATTATACTCTGAAGTTAACGATTACTGCATTCCCAATTATCTCAGAAAAAAAGAAAATTAAAAGATGAATGACTTTACAAAAACTGCAATATGAAACTACAGTGTATACATGGAACAATTTCAGCAGGTAAGTGGAAGCTCACAATCTAATTGTCCATCACTAGCATTGAAGAATAATGAGGAGTGGCAGAGTTTGCCCATGTTGTCACAAGAGTTAATTACAGGGAAAAGAAAGAAGCATAGTCACTAGAAAGACTCACACAGTATGTCACGAGTATTTCTTTAGCAGTGAAAGCACAGTCTACATTGAGGCACCTTCCCTATTATTTTAACAAATCATATTTATCTAATAGCGAGCAACTTAATTTTCTAAGATTTAGTGCTTCATCTTTTCTTCATTTTGTTTTTATTTGAAAGCAAGAGAAGACAATATTTAATCCTGTTATTTAATATGCACATCCTTCCAATTCACTTTTTGATTTTTACTTCCCCAAGCCCCCTAGTTTTGTTTCAGGAGCTAGGTTTATGTGATTTCTTAACCAGCTGGAAATTTTCTAATTGTTTGGCCACTGCCTATCATGCTTACAGTATAGCGTCCTTGAGTTACACATACAGTTAATTTCTGTGCAATATAGGTGATTTGAAAACTATTAGCTAAAGCTAAGGAACAACTTCTGTTGTAGAACACATTGGTCAGACAGATGACAAGTAAAAGCAGTGGAAAACAAATTTTAATCTAAATCAGCAGTTAGATTTTGTCAAATGTTCACTATAGAGTTTTTGTTTTTGTAAAAGACTCATGCTGTTGTGCTAGTGCAGGTGTCAGCTGGGGCAGTATAGATTGTAGATATGCATGTTTCAGGTTCAAGGGCTGGTTTTGGGCTGCAGACCTTGCACATTCTGGAAATAATATTTCAGTACAGAGTAAGAATGAAACAGAGACTGTCGTAAAAAATGCAGTGCTGCCTAATTCACAATTAGGCAATTCCTAATTCCTAATTCCTCCAAATCAGACAAAACAGTCTTGCAAACTAGGCTTTTTAATATCCCAGGCCATCAAGCCAAACACTCAGAAGCAGACCCACTTGAAGTACAAATACCGTTGTGGTTTAACCCAAAAAGCACTGATTTGCTCACTTCCCACCCTCCCCAGTAAGATAAAGGAGAGAACTGTAAACAAAATAGAAAATACAGTTTCAGAAAAAATCTATTTACTAAGACAGAAGAGGAAAGTAGAAAAGAAAAAAAAAAAAAAAAAAGCAATTATAGCAAGATATGAGCGCCGTCCAGAAAGTAATGCTTGCTATTTTATTATGTTAAAGCATGGTGTCAGAGACAGATGTTGTATGGCAGAAATATATCTATATCTATATCTATCTATATCTATCTATATATCCATATCCATATCTATATCTA